CAAATTGTTTATTTAATGTTATTTAGATAGTTAATTCTATTAAACAATGTATGCACAAATAACTTTGGAAGGCAATTACTCAAAGTCATGTTTATCTTGACTCTAAGAGTGCGGTATTTTCACTTTCCAATAACTTAGGCTTGAAAAGTCCAATTTCAATGAATGACCCCTCATTTTAAAGATAACATACTCAGGTATATGAAAATACTGATAACTTTAATTTCAAATTTTGCTACAACTTAGCCATTTTGCCACAACATGCCTCATTTTATTGTTTTTAGACATGTTGATGACGTGTCACACATCAAAACATGTTGTTAATTAGTTTGTATATTTTATTAGATTCGATACCGAATTTGTATTTATTTTATTATTATATATATAATATTAATTATTAATTATTATTTTATATTTTTATTTATTTTATTTTTTTTATTATTTATTTCTTGTTTATATTTAATAAAAATAAAAAATTAAATTAAATTAAATTATATTGTTTGCATACTGCCATTGTAATTGTGATTAGAAATATCATAAAAAAATATTGTCATCCTTAAATTTTTGACTTATCATCTCTGAATTTGTTCAACTTTCTGGAAGGAAAGTTAAGTCATTAGTCTATGTACATTTCATGCAGAATAATGCTCTTGATAAAGCCTGACTTCCGTACAATTGCTACACCTTGTCAAAATTAGTGAATTTGGTAGATAATTTATCACTACACAGTTATTTTTATACTGTTTTTTATATGTTTCAAATGAAAAGTAATCTAATGTATGAAATCATGTTTTATAACGAATCAATATATGGTTTTCCCTGGAGAAACCGTAGTAAATTCAACATTAAAATGAAATATTTTAATGACAATTTATATTAATGGAATATTATAGCAATGTATCCGGCATTCGTTACAATTTCGTTTTAATTCACTCGATATTTATTGATTTTGTTCTTTCCTCTTCTCATTGATTTCACAAAGTGCTGAAAGCAACACTGAAATTGGTACAATAGCAAATTACAGGGTAATTAATGATTTCAA